CCACAGCATTTAATTGAATAATAATGCATTGTGAATTTAATTGAATTAAGCGCAGTTAATAAGATCTAGCTATACTTTATTTTGCTTCTTTAAAAAAAAAAAAAAAAAAAAAAAAAAAAAAAACTTATTTTTAACGGTGATGTGACACTTGAGCGGATAGCAGTTCGGCGCAGGTGGCATTTGCGCACATGTTTCCTGGGGGAACATGAGATTTTCTAAGAGGTTGTAAGCAGTTACAGACTATAAGTGACACTTTCGAACACCCTGACAAAAACGATCAATCAGGTTTATAATTTACTGATGAATTTGACATGATTTTTTTTAAAGTAGGGTCCGATCTTGCTCTGACTGTAGCCTTCTCATAATTATAATTTTATTTATTGAATGCACAATTACTCCGAAACCATTGGTCATAATAATAATAAAATAAAATAAAAACCTGAGAGCTTTTAGATTTCATATTACCCTTATATGGGACTTTTTTTTAACGTTTTGTGTGTTACCTTTATTTATTAAATATCATAGTCTTCACACTTAAACCATAAAATTCTATTCAACAGCAATATCACAAAAATAAGCATAGCTTTAAAATTTCCGATACACAGTCTCGCGCGCTGGAGATAATTCCCCTCCCCCCCCCGTACAGTGTTGCCATTCCTCGCTTTGAAGTCCCTGAATTTGTAAATGAAAAATTCGTTAGTTTTATAAAATATGAAATATATAATAAAACAAATTCGAAATTCAAGATTTGTGCTGAAATATGCCCATATTCGAGTGGAGACTAAGTTATTCAAAATTTGATGTTTCTAGGTACCGTTGTTTTTTCACAATGCAAGAAGCATACATTCATGCAGATGCTTTATTATTTAATTTTTTTAAATATAACACACGGCTCTAATATTTGGTGACAGCAATTTGAAATACCTTTTTATAGTGGACAACGCAAAATGCCAAAACGAAATTAATAGCCCTTCTGCGTAAATTGCCTCTTTAGGCTACAAAAAGTAAAACTTAAGTCAGTTACTAAATCCTTCATGTAAAACTTTTAGAAGTTATCTTTAGTTATGTTAAAAAAACTAATTAATTTTGGAGTTACGAAAATTTAAAAAAAAATAAGTAATATTATTTTTAAAGAAGATGTAATTCTATTATTTTCATCGTAGGCCATTTTAACAGCGCATTATTTTTCGATTTTTAAAGGGGCGGGGGGAATCAGCTCAAATTCCTGATTTGTTTATAAACTACAGTACATAATACGTTATAATGTGGATGACAAAAAAATATTTCATTTACAATATTTTAATATTTGGAATATAAAATAAAAGTAGCAAATACCTTATTAAGGCTATTAAAATAAGTACACTAAATGTCAGAATCAGAAACAAGTTATAAAGATAGTGAGTTTTAAAATGTGTTGTATTTTGGTGATATTTTAAAGGTACCTGACTTAAGGCATTTATCATTCTTTATACATTAACATATATATTGTATAAACATTTTGTGAACTATCTATATTTGTGAAGCCCAGAATTTAATAAAAAAATCAACAGATAACAATGAAGATGCGGTTTTATGAATTGCCGCTAAACTATACAAATTACAATTATCCATACAAGTTTCCTGTGCACAAGTACCCCTGATTTTTTATTTGTGCGCAAGTGCCACTAAATCATTTTCGAGCAGTTGCAAAACGAAACAACTGCAAATAAAAGTTCCAGATACAATCACTACTATTATTATAAAAATTTGTAACTTACATTCGTAAATTGTAACATGACGTTAATGGCAAACATTACATAATTATGACTTGCTTAAGATGGCACGACAAAAATGCTGTTCTTATAATTTATAGCCCAACAGCGGCCGAATAGGTAAAACGTACCTAAATTGGAACGTACGTTAATTTAGCGCAGACACGTACAGCTAAATGGAATTAAGATATTTTTTAAAAAAAATTAAAGCACTGATAGTCTAAACTTCTATAAAATTACAAAAAAAAAAAAAAAAAAGTGTAACTAATTAATAATACCTTTTTACTAAAGCGGCTTCAACTGCAAGTCTAGCAAAAGACACTTCATACAAATAATATTAATATAAACTAATAAGTAAACAAAGGAAATAAACAAAATAATGAGAAAAAGGGTAAATAAATAAAATCAGCACCTGATCTTTTTTAATCTGTAATCTCTTTAAAGAATAATGTATTGTTTTTTCTTCATTTTAAAACGAAAGTTCTAAGAAAACAATGCGCCAAAATTTAGTAAAGCGTTACAAAAGTTCTATCCCATCATCCATGTCTAATTCTCCAATGAACTTCGGCATCACAATGCAACTAAAGGTGAAAACATTGCGGCCTAGATGAATAGAAACACTGAGATGTAGCGCCATCTAGAGAATAACTATTGAAACGTTTTCTTAATTTATCGCCGGAGAGGAATGAATAAACCGAAAATGAAAATTTAAATGTAATTCAGTTTCCAGAAAATCGAGAATTTGTTTCATCACAATTTCCCTAAAATGATGCTTCCCCGATTAATTTTTTTAAACATGTGATCTCCTCTCCATGTGTTTGTTCAAGATAAAATGACATTCTCTTCCTTCTGATATTTATTTCTTTCGTTTCATCAGTAAATTCGTAATTTTATTTTATTTCGTGATTTTTTTTAAAACTTACTTCTGTAAGCCTTGTGTTATATGGTGTTTAAATGCTGCAACATTGGAAATACTTTGATCAACAAATCGGTTAACATGGAAAGTAAGTATTATCGAAAAAAATTGTTTTTCTCTGAAGTATTATCGGGAGGGGGGGAATTCCCTTCAGTATTATCGGGAAAAAAAAAAAAAAAAAATATGAAGTGCAAATAATAGTGGTTAAGTATTATCGAAGAAAAAAAGAAATTTTTTTCCTGAAGTAGAGTCGCCAAATGCGAGATAAAGCCACCAAGTAAGGTCGAAACAAGTATAAGAATTGCCAAAAGTCAGGAACACTTCGCTAAATAGAAAATTACGACGCGAAACAGCTCGTTTTCGATTTTAGATCAACCATTGAAAATTAGGAAAAAAGCAACACGAGTTTGGCTCAGATTCTGATGATAATCAAATACAGAGATCTCTCTTCTTCAGGAGAAACTAAAATAATAATAATAATAATAATAATAATAATAATAATTAAAAAAGTGCTGAATTTTTTCCCTCTGCTTCTTAAAAATAATAATATAAAATAATTTTAAAAAAATCTGAAAAGTTTCAGATTTTATTTAGGCTAAAAATATTTAAAAACAGCTTATCTGTAGAATTTTCTGTAGACAGTCTCGCACGATGGAGATGTTTTATGATACGCACGAAATGTTTTATTCCGTATGGTGTTATTATTACTCGCTTTGAAATCGTTGAGTTTGTTAATCAAAAATTCGTTAAAGTTTTAATAAATATGAAATAGATAATAAAACAAATTCTAAATTCGGGCTTCCAGGTGCTCATGTTCGGGAGGAGGACTACGTTATTCAAAATTGGATGGCTCTAGGTTCCGTTGTTTTTTCCCAATGCGAGAAACATACATACAGATTCTTAATTATTTAATTTCTTAAATATAATACAGTGCTATAATATTTGATGGCAACAGTTCGAAAAGTGAATCATAATTTTATAGTGATTCAACGCGAAATACCGTTTTGAGACTAAATGCATTCGAATGAGGGATTCCCTCCCGGTATTAAGTTTAAGAGTATATCATGAATAAAATAACTTCTAGAAATATTATGAAAAGCTCGTAAATGAATTATATTGAGTTAAAAGCAATAGTTCATTTACCAGTTCACTGAACTGAATCTGCCATTGGGCAACTGTTTAAATTAATTGAGCATAAGTAGTTAAACTAAAGGTTCGATTATTCATTCACGGTTCAGTATAGCGTATATAATCGTTTCAAATACCTAAATATTTTAAATTCGTTTAATATTATTCTTTTAAATATCAAGAACGGACTGAAGGAGAAATTATTTCGCTAATTCGATTCGAAATTTTGCCAGTATTCACTTTACTGTTACAGTATTTAGGTGTCGAATTTCTATTTTATTTGCCGCGTATTTATAAATACTAAGATCATTGTACAACAAGATTTGCTCTTCCGACCAGAAATATTTGACCCCGTGACGTCACTGACTCATAGTTTTTGTTTGGGGAACTAAACGTAACGGTGCTTTTATTTCTCCCACTTCTATCAGTTAAGTGACGTCACTGAACTAATAACATTAGAAAAAGGATAATAACCTTGTTTGTCAATGGACCTTGACAGGTACGGTTTTAGTGCAGTGATTCTGCAAAAAGCTTCGATTTTGGATTAATACTTATTTGCGAAATCGTCATTTACACACTGTGGTGGAAATTTAATGCAACAGATAATCTACAAGAACAAAATAAACAAAACACACAGCGAAACATAACAGCACACAACAGTCAACAGAACAAAACAATATTAAAATACTTAATCCCTCATATAACAATATTCTCAATAACATAAACATATTTCAGAATTAACAGAGCTCACACTTAAGACGTACAGCAGCTCCCGATCGTTAGAACTTCAAGGTTATTTTCCGCCGCTCTACTTGCCTCGTAACCGTGGGAACGGTAGCATCAGCAGACGATTTTAGCCACGTACCACGCAATTTTTTTCCACTTCATTTCCGTTTCGCTTCCTAAAAAGCGTGCGAATGAAAGCTGACCTGGAGCTACAGTTCCAAATGAGGTGGAGAAAATAAATGCCGTGTGGTAATGACGTCACGCGTTATGATCACATATGGGCTGGGCTGGCAATGACCTTGAGATGCATATTTTTAAGCGACAGATTATAAATTATTCCCGATTTATCACAAAAAATAACGATGCAATGTTCGACAGCATTATGTGCGACGTAACGCATAACGCAGGATGAATTACGTATACATACATATATAGACACATATATATAATAATCAAACTATAGAATTGCAAACTCTTACGTTCTGTAGACACTTCGTTTTCTGTACTGCTTTCCTTGGTATTATTCTTACTATTTTTATTTGTATCCTCAAATTTTACATTTCCTAGATTATTCTTGTCTGGCTGGTAATTTTTTTGTCCTCTTAGAAAACACGCTGTTTCTTTGGAAAATTTTGATCCCTTTCTTCGTCCACGTTTCCTTCTACCACAATCTACAGAAAAAACTTTTCTTTAGACGTTGCAAAATGTACGTTACGTATTATCACATCTAAATTACGTATAGTGTATATATGTTACCGTGAAAGACCGAAATTGGAGAATGTCGACTTTCACCGGAGAATGTCAACATTCACCAAATACGTCGGTGAAAGATCGAATATTTCACTACATTCTTGTACATTCGGACCCTCACCGGTGTATGTCGACAATCACAGATATGCTCTGGTGAAAGTCGAAAAGAGAGGTCATAAAGTGCCATAATAGTTTAAGTTGTTGCAATAAATAAGATTTGAATCACATAATTTAGTAAGTTTTTTATGACTGTTATTTTATTTTCTCATTTAGAACGTACTGTATAATTAAATAAGTTTTTAACTTCTATTATTTTCCTTTCTCATTTTGAATGTATTATGTGTTTTAGGTTCTCAAGTTCTTATTTCAAGTCTCAAGTGCGTTTATTCGCGACTGAATTACGGAGAAAAAAATATAATATTGTTATATATTCAACATTCACCATTAGTACATGGTGAATGCCGACATTGACCGGTGTAAATCAGAAATAAGAGTATTTGGAAAATATTTCGGACATACACCAAGAGACTATGTGAATGTTGACATTCACAGGTGAAAGTCGACATTCTCCAGATTTCGGTGTTTCACCGTAACATATATATACTATACGTACTAGACATGAGTTAGACACGAAAGTAAACAAAAAATGTTAATTGTACAAAAATATAAAATATAAAATTTTCTAATGTTAGTTTTATTCCCAACGGAAAAGAATTTGAAAATTATTTTACGCCATTGTCCTAAAAAAAAAAAAAAAAAAGAGGTCGAGGAAAATGGCTAAAATTCAGGGCATACGCATTCTCTTTTCTGTTGTCCCAAATCGTTTTCGACTTTTTCGACGTTTTCAACGCCAATTCTGGCGTTAAATAAAGCAGACCAAAATTGGACGAATAGAGAATCGATATTTGATTATTACAATAGCATAGTGCGAAGAATTTCTTGCAAATAAGTCTTAGCAGTAGAAGAAAAACTTGCCATACAGTGGCCCTGAACTGGGTAACTCAACAATAATTTCATTTGTTACTTGTGTTTATGATATGGTGACGGTCATAATAACAAAAGTTTCATAATATGTGACAATAGAGGGAAAAAAAAAAAAAAGAAAACGAAAGGACACAGAGAGAGTAACTTAACCCGACTGCACTGGCGACTAGAACAAACGATTGTGTGTAAACATTTCTGGCAACGAATACCGTACCTGCCCTTCTCACTGAAAACCAGTTGATAAATATGCCCTTTTCTTTTTCTTTATAAGTTACTTTAATGACAAATGAGTTGGACGATCCGCTCTGGAATTGATTCAAAAAATCAATTCACTTTACTGGGCGAATTTACTCCAACTCCAGAAAACGCGGTTGTAGCTCTTTTACAATTTTTTTTTTTTTTTTTTTTTTTTGCTAGGGTTACGTCGAAGGAGATTATATTTTGAGGATTAATTAAAATTAAAAAATATTTTAAAAAATTACTTTATTGCATTATTAAACTTTTTAATTAATAATTTCAATTAAATTAAATTTTTTTTTATTTTATATTTTTTTCAATTATTCACAATTACTTCCGTATAATTCACAATCAATAAGACATAATTCGAAAATGTGGCTCCCTTAAACATTCCTCGGCTGCTCCTTGAAAGAGTGGCCGAGCGGTAAAGTCGCTGAACACTAGTAAGTTATGCCTCAGGTTCAAATACCGCGAACGGGCTGGCTGCATGGGCATTTCCACGGTTTTCCCCAGGTGTAACGTGGACATGAGCCAATTTCCCTTAGAAAGTCCTCCACGAAGGCATCCCTCCCCTCAGGCAGATAGCCCTCGAGTGCTTATAATAAATAATACGCTAAGTCTTGAAAAAGAACCATGAATTTTCAAAAATTTATTAATTATATTTTGCAAAACTAATTGCATTAATTTTAGTGAATTGTTTTGTTTTTGTTTCAGTTTTAAATGCATAACCTCTTTTTGATTTAATTGTTATTTCTTGATTAAAAGAATTAATATATTAAATACCAAAAAATGAAAAAAACAAATAAAACACCGAGAGCATTTTTTGAAAAGAAATAATGCACGTCTTTGTTCCTGAACAAAAGGTACTTAAGTCTGGTTACCAAATGAGTAACATCTCTTATGACTATAAATTCGAGATATAAAGTGCAAATAAATTAATATTACTGGCATTGTCCAGTCATGCGTTCCACAATATCACAGCTAATTTATTGATGTAAAATAATAAAAATAAAATGAAAAGACAGCAACACGATTTGGGAGGTAAGTCCTGTCTGGCATGCTGGGGGGCAAAATCAGGAAAAGACAGACAGCAGCTTTTCCTTAAATGCTGTTACAAATATCTATCAAATAAAAGTGTGTGGGGGGAGGAGTGAGAGAGGATAGATTTCATTTCATTGAAGGTTTACCGGCAACTGCCGGTTTGTAAGGACTTCCTCATAAACATCATTCTCGTTCTTTATATATTGCCCTTGTTCTGAATTTGGAAAAGGCGTTTACACTAGACGTAAGCGACTTTTAATTATTTAACAATATGAATAAATTTCTTGTTTAATATCCTAGAAAAATTAGCACAGACAACAGGAAGCGAATCTATACAATGTCGAAACTACCTACATGTATTTATGAATCCAGTTTAAAGGGTTATTTAAAGAAAGTGTGAGACACATTTACATAAACTGTACTTAAAAATGCGATACTCCTGCTATAACAAAATAAATACGTTACATTATTATATCGTTTTATTTTAGGACTAAAATTTTCAAAATACAGTAGAAGTTCAGTTATCTGGATATGTTCTTCTGTCTAAGTACAGCAGAGTTGTGCTCTTTTTTTCATTTACATGCTTTTAATTGTCTTTCAAATTAAATATCTACTAATTAATTAATTAATTAAGAAAGGAAGAACGAATGAATTAATTAATATACACTGCGCAGAAAAAAAGGGGACAGTTCTATATCTCCTATTTTACTGGGCCAATTAACGAAATTCAACTTGCGTTTTACATGTTTCGAAAGCGCAAATTAGGATATGTATTAGATTTATATATATATAGCAATGTTCTACTATAGGTATATTGACACAAAACTGGAATTTTTCTGAAATGACATGCCAACTTTTTTCCATATTTCGATTCTACGACTCAAATTTCGCCAAACTGCCCAGTTTTGTAAAAATCGCACGAATCGTTTTTAAAAAATTTGCTCTAAAAAATTTAGCTCCTCAGTGTTAATTGAATTTGGTATATATTTATTAATATAGCTTTTTTATTAAACTTATTTGATTCTTCCTTTCGTAATTCGAAAGTGAGGTTTATTCCAAATAAAATTCACCCATTTTTTTATGATTTATTTTTAAATAATTTTTCGAAAAATATTTTGAATTATAATCTATAATCATAAAGCAGATGTATTTCTAGGCATACCTGCAAAAAATTAGAGTTTTTTATTCATTTTTCCGAAGAAAATTTCCGAAGCTGTACGTAAATTTATATATTGTCGCGTTTCGAAATGTGGCATATTTGTTGAAAGCGATAACAACATCAAATGTGGTTTAGGCACTTTGTTAAAATTATTTGAAAGTAGGAAAGATGCGACTTTTTTTACGCTTATGCACAATGTAAAAAGGGAAAAGAATATAGGTTGCCATAATATTAAGAAGTTCACCAAGTGAATTATTCTTGGCGCAAACTGAAAAAAATGCGCCAAGGTAAATTTTTCGGTAAGTTTTTCACCAAATTTTATAAAATTTAATATTTAGGCATAACTTAAGTCGTAGAATCGAAAATGGAAAAAATTGACATGTTATTTCAGAAAAAGTCCGATTTTTTGTTAAAATACCTATATTAGAACAATACTATATATATAAATCTAATATATATCCTAAGACACGCTTTCCAGAGATGAAAAACGCAATTTGAATTTCGTCAATCGGCCCAGTAGAACGGGAGATATCGAACTCTCCTATTTTCCCCGCAGTGTAGGTATGTATATACGTATGTTCATGTATGTGCGTATGTATGCATGCATACATGCCAAAGAGGTCGCGGGATGATTGTTTAGCAGTGGTGAAAGGGGTACCTGGGGCAAAGAACGTCTATATGTAAAGAAGGAAAGGCTCCATAGGCGTAATGTAAACCAGTTTGTCTTCTACGCCGCTACAAGGAAGAAGGAAAATTCGCCAAGTGATTTGGCGACAGAATCTGATGGCGAGAATTTCCCCCTTTGTGTGCCTGGGGCAAAAAAGGTTGAGAACCACTGTTCCACAATCCTATTCGTTCTTGAAACGAAGAAGCGATTTTTTGCAGGAGGTTGTTGACGAAAAAAGCTGAAAATGAAAACGTTGATTGTGCCAATTTGTTGGCCTATTATGTAACAAAGCTCTGGTGTTTCATTAAAAATTGGTAGACCATTTAATGTTTGTAATGAGTTGAAAAATTTCAAATCCAGGCACAGAATTGGTAAACTTCTTAGCAAGAAGCTATCGGCTATTTCGAAATCATTCAAAGAATCGTCTTGATTTTCAAAAGCCAAAAACGAACGAGGCTAGGATCCTGAATCTGTTTACAAAGTGAAGCAAGTCTGTATTGTTCTTGCTTCAAACAATGATCTTGCTTCAAACAATTAACCGAATATGCATGTCAGCAAACAGCCGGTGATTCACATGGCGTGCGCCAATTCAACTGGAACTCACCGATTACCGTTACTCGTAACTGGGAAATAATAAAACACTTACTATCTTCCTATCATGCATAAAAAATCAGAAAAAGGCTTATTCGTAACATATCATGCACACTACTTCGTTACTAAGTTGAAAATATTTCAAGATTATAATCGCAAAGATGGAAAAGTTTTATTATCTTGTATATTGTACTATCTCATCGATATTCTGAAAGTTTAACGCCAAAAGCCCCAAATTTGGT